GTGCTTACTAATTAATCATATATTAATTAATCACACATTCTACTACATTCACGAAAACCTTCAAAGTCCGATTCATCGGTATCAGAATTAAACAGTTCTAATATATTTTCGGGAAGAGTGTCCGAAAGTTCATTTTCAGCATCACTATCTTCACTGTCAGTGATTTCCTCGCTTTCACTAACAATCCTGGCTTTTATAAATCCCGATCGGATGGTTGACACTTTAACACTTTTCCAGGATTTATCGACCCATTCGGCAACTTCAGTGTATGAAGCGCGTCTCATATTTCCTCCTTTTGTGAAAGTATGTAAACCTTCCGACATCCAGATCTCCCAGCAAGCATGTACGTGGGACTTGAAACTTTTGTTCACGCTAATATCCAGAGGTTGCAGGATTTTTGTTAAACCTCCTGGAATAACGCTAAGTTCAGCACCAATGTTTTTTTTTTTAGCTTCCGCCTTTACACTGTCTTTTATGTGTGCCTCATGGAATCCATAATTAGTACTCCTTTGGAACTGAAAACCTTCTCTCTTCTTCCAAACTTCTTGAAACCAATCGAGCATAATGTTCTTGTTGCACCAACCCTTTTCATTGTTGCACCGTATTACGACGCTTCGAGGAAAATTTTCCTTGGGAATTGTTTTTCTCTTAAAGATTAAAGAGCGGCTTCAACTTTGTGCTGTCAGCACAGCAGACAGGCATCACTGTGAATTGGGTCTTTTCTTGACCAATTGTTGTTATTGATATTGTTTTCACTCCACAAGTATCGACGGTGCAATTCGGTGGGCAATCAAATGTTAATGGAACTTCGTCCATATTTATAATATTTTTTAGGGAATACTTCCCTTCTGCTATAACTTTCCTTGTAAGCTGAAGAAAAGAAGCTTTTTTTTCATCTACGTCGTTCGGAACAGCCTGACACATTGTCGTTCTGCTGCAAACTCTCAAGATTTTACGACGCATGAAGCGGTAAACCCAATTTATTCCCTCCCTTGAAATCCGTATATGCATCTCTTCTGCCATGGACTTCGCTCGGAGACGGATTTTAACTGTTGAAATGGAGCATCCAGCATTTCTTTGGTCGAGAACCCATCTCAGTAAATTTTCCTCTAAAGCTGTCCATTTTACATTTTCCTGCCGATTGGATCGCTTTCTTCCCATGCTTTTTAACACATCCTTTTGTTTGCGCCAATTTCTCACCGCTTTCTCGTCCACTTCAAAATAACGGCCCGCTTCTCTATTTCCATCTTTTTCAGCTTTCTCAACTACCTTGAGTTTAAACTCGGCAGTAAAACTCCGGCGATGTTTCATCCACGTCATCGAAGATGAAAGACAAAATACGAAAACAAAATACTGTGCAACGTGGTATCCTCGTGATAAGTGGTAATGAAATGTGACCTTTGACCCCACTCACTCGGTGTTGCCAAACCACGCTATAGGTAAACAAATCACGGTTTTTTTCATACTCCAGGTACTTGCTACTAAGGCTTCTAAAAATCGAGTTGACGCATCAACTACTTTTCCCCCTCCTGGCAGTCAGTTGTATTAAAGCAGTGCGAAGGATACTGGGATACAAGACTCTGGTTGCACTGAGTGCTCATATCCAGCATCGCTTGATGCGCCAGCCTGGATTTTGGGAGCTCTACTTGCTACTGCTCATTCGTTCTGCACTATGCTCTATGGTTTACTATCGATACGATACATACGAATGCTTTCCCGCCAATCCCGATTTTTTTATATTTGATCATCAGCAGTTCATGACAGCATGTTTTTTAAATTTCAACAATTTTAACCGTGAACAACCAGTGTATTATCTGCACTGGTGGATAATCCACAGCTTCAAAAATTTGCATTTTAAACACAGATAGTCTGCGGACTATACGCGCAAAATTACGGTAAATGTTTGTTGATTTCACCAAATCTTCCATTATTTCTTCATCAAAAATTTGCAATAAACAGTTGGATTTTTCAAATTTCTAAAGCTTTTTTTGACACCAGGTAAATGTGTCACTATATTGTGCGGCTGTGTCCGAAAATTTTTCGAGGGTAATTTTTTACTTCAAATTGTTCCATCTTTTCAAACATAAAAAATCATCTGATGTCAAAGAAGATATGCTCTCTAAATCATGTGAATCATCATCTTACTGGTCAGAATCAGTTCCGTGAACACTTTCAGAAATATTATCGCATTCAGAATCGGAATCTTCAATTTTGCTAGCAGTTTCACACTAGCGAGAAGAACCTGCAGTCATTACTTTTCTTGCTCGTATGCACTCATCTCAATGAATGTCTCTCTAGAAGTGAAACTTTAGTACACGCACGAGGTAGCTACAGTCCCATTGCACATTCCTTCCCCGAAAGCACATTTGGATTTTGCACAACTCTGTTGGTGTTGCAGTGTTTCAACTGAGCTCTTGAATAAGTCAAATTTGGAAAATGTCACGAGTGCTATGATTTTGAAAAAGCATGCTGCATCATTACTCAGGTCATTTTAATTCTTTTGCCTTGAATTAGAGCATTTACTGAATTGCCTTAGTTAGCTGGAACTCTGCATTGACCATGTTATTGTTTTCAATCATTTCCTAATGGATTACACCTTTGCAACATACCAAATGTCCAGTGGCGTAGCTAGGGTGGGCAAGGGGGGACATCTATACCCGGGCACAGCCTACAGGGGGCGCCAAACTGATGTTACGAAATTTCAGAATGAAATGTTTTCCATTTTTGTCCATAAAGGGGGGTGTAAAATCTTCATTTGTCCCCAGGTGCTGAAAACCCTACCTACAGCTCTGCAAATGCCTAATATTCTCTTGAGTTGATGTAGTTCTGCCTCATTTGAGGGGTTGCTTGCTTCTCAGGATTCATCTGTACTCTCCTGTGATTCATACTGAAACAAAAACACCATTTTTCTTTTCTGGTAAATATTCAGTAAAGATATCTGTTTATTTCCATGAATAGCCTAGTATCAAGTCAGAAGACTGCCAGGATAGTTCTTGAACTTATTTGTTTCATTCAAAGCATGTGACATCCATTCCCTGAATTTTTACACATTATATTATAGAGATGATGGTTAGAGCATCTTGTTTACTGGGCGAGTTTCTTAGTGGAGTGATGTACATTATTGAAGTCCCATATTAGATTGGGCACATTCAATTAATCCTCAGTGAACTTTGAAGAGTAGAGAATAGGAATAAGTTTCCTCTCCTTGTGTGAAGCATGAAAACTATTTCTGTGTTCTTTTAGAAAGTCCTTTTTTTATACAGCACAGTATCTTGAATGGCTTTGGAACATTGAGTCAAATCAAAAAGAGATAGTGAGTGTTGAAATTATTCATATAAGAATGGTTTTGTGAAAGAAACTACTGTTTTGCTGGGTTAATTCTATCAAAACTTCTTCAAAAGGCAATAACTAATAAAAAAATGTTTACCAAATACGAGTGCAAAATGGCCATGTTGTGGCTTGAAAATTCAAACTATTGTTTTGCCGTGCTAATTCTGTCAAAACTTCTTCAAAAGGAAATGCTTAGTAAAAAATGTTTACCAAATACGAGTACAAAATGACTGTGTTGCGAGATGAAAATTCTTTGTGAATCAGAACAGTCGAAAGTTATGATTATACTTTGCCAAAAAAACATGAATGAAAGCCCAGAGTTTTGGAAGAACATTTTTTCAAATGAAAGTAAATTCAATATTTTTGTATCAGACGTGAGGTAAATAGTGTGGAGGAAATGAAATACAGAAATGCATCTAAGGAATTTACTACTAGTAGTGAAACATGGAGGTGCAGGTGTGTTGCTTTGGGCTTGTATGAGCACTTCAGGGGTCGATAATTTAATCATCATAAATGACATTATAAACCATCTGCTATACATAGATATTTTGAAAAATACTTTACTGTATAGTGTGACAAAAATGGGTTTGGATAGTGAATATATTTTCGTGTATGATACTGATCCCAAGCCTACAGCCCTAAATACATGGCTCTGTATATTATATAATAGCCCAAAGTTTATGAAATTTTTTCCTCAGTCCCCTAACCTCAATCCCATCGAGAATTTAGGGTAAATTCTTGATAAAAATTTTAGATTCAGGTACATTTAGAATAAAAATGACTTCACAACTGCTGTTAAAGAAAAATTGGAGTCCATATCTAGCTCAGTAACAGCAAATTTGATTGAATCGATGACAAGGAGACTCGAAGCTGTTATTTGTAATAAAGGATATCTTACAACGTGTTAATTTATATATATTTATAAAAATATTCAACATTATGTGTAATGTATGAATACGTTTTACAGCATAAGATGATGGATTGTTTTTGTTTTGTAAATGTCGTATTTATGCAAGCATTTATCTTCATGTAAATTTCGCATGGAAATATTAAAGTATATTTCATTATACATATTTAATTACCTATTTTGGAATTTAAGTTTATAGTTTTTATCGGTGGTGCTTTTTTAGATCATAACACTTACTGAATAAATGAAAACTTTCTGCATTCACTGTAGATGTTAAGAAGCTCAATTTTGTTTGGTACTTGACATTTTGTTGTCTTGGGCTATTGAAAAATTTATTCATTATATTTGAAAAGCAATAAATAAAGGCTGTAGAGAAAGAAAGGAGCTATAAGTAACAATGTAACACTTTGATAAAATATTTTGTTATTTCAAATAGCATTTGGGGAGGATTGCATGACAGTATATAGTCTCCAGTTTTGGGCCATTTTATAATCTTTTTCCTAATGTGTTTTTGTTGTTTAAACTGCCAATGCATTTCTGAAAACTTGATGCATAAAGAATAGATTATTCATTTGGCTAAGGTATTGTGTTTTTTCATAAAGAAAAATCTGTATCTAAATATCTTCAAATCTTTAAGAACTGTGAATAGTCTATTATAATTATTTGATTTATTCCTAAGACAAATTAATAAACAGGCATTTCCATTTCATAAAATAAAAAAAAAAATTCTGTTAAAGATTATTGGCATAATATAATTTATACTGTTCTTTCACTATTGTTGTAGGTAAAATGCAGTACCCACATCCACATATGCCAGATAACAATCCCCCATCTGGTATTCCAAGAGGTTATCCATATGGTCCTAATGCTAATTTACCTGCTTCAAATCCAGAATATCCACCTATACTAACTGGATATCAACATAACATGCCATCTGCTCCTGCACCATATCCAGCAGTCAGTCCATATGATGCAAGAGGTTTTCCATCTGCTAGTTTGAGTGGGAATTCTGGTATGCCTTATGTAAATCAAGGTGAAAATATCACCTTATCCTGTTTGTGATTCAATGCCAAATCCTGCAAGTGATTCAACATTACTTTCAGGTTATCCTAGTAGTCAGCCTTCCAGTGGCTCAACACCTTATCCACCCAGTGGCTCTTCATTTTGTCCTTCAACTGGCTCTTCACCATATCCTCCAATTAGTAGTTCTCCTTATCCTCTTGGTGGTTCTTCACCTTATCCTGCTGGTTCATCATCATATCCTCCTACAAGTTCTTCACCATATCCTTCTACTGGTTTTTCACCTTATCCTTCTGGTGGAATGTCAGCTTATCCTTCTAGCAATTTATCCACTGCATCAAATCCCTCTACTGGAGTTTTGAGTATGCCTGGTTTATATCCAAAACAGAGTACAAATTATTCCCAGTACCCTAGTCATGTATGTATAATTTATATTTAACTTAAAGCATATTAGTGAAAGGTTAACTGAAATATGAAAATGGGAGAATATCATTGGAATGTGTGAAAAGTTGGCATCTATAAATCTGTGGCATAGCTGGCATAAGGAAAAATTTGGTACTCTTCTGCTATCAGGGCCAGATTCAGAAATGTACGTATGTATGTATGAATAGATGGATGTGTTCATATATTGCATGTATATATTTATGTAAATGTGTATGCACATATATGCATATACATACGTTTTGGAATCTGGCATTGATACAAAATTTTTGTGTATTAGTTAATTTATTATGCATTTAATAATTTTTCAGTATACTTTTTACTAAATCATAAATATATTTAACATTGTATCTAAACTAATAAAGTTGCAGCACAAAGAAGAAGCTGAGTAATTTCTTGAAATTGATAGGTACAAATAGTCATAATAAATGCACATGCTAAATTTTTCGAATAAAAGAATAAATTTGCTGAGATCACCAATTTGTGATGAATAATTAATTATAATAATTTATAGTAATAATAATAATAATAAAAAGTCAATCCATCTTTTTTGTTTTTTTTTCCATTACCGTCGCATTATTGGAATTCACAAATGTCATGTTATATATTGTGGGATATTAGTTCTGGTTTAAGCCTGTGGACTAGGAATTTCCAACCTTTTTGTTTTCATCAATCTCTTTTATTCGTCGTTGACTCCCTTATATTTTTCTTTGTAATATCACTCTGAGTTCGAATCCTGGCAAACAAGCTGGCTGCTTGGGTATTTTTATGGTTTTCACCATGTGTAATGTGTATATGAGCGAGTCCTTCAGAAAGGCATCCCTCACCTTTGACAAATAGCCATCAAGTGTTTCACTATAATCAAATAAACTAAAGTTCTCTATAAATCTATAGTATATAACAGTCATAATACAAATACTGATTGCTCTTGAATAATTTAAAACTAAAAAGTGGATCAAGAATATGAAAAAAAAAAAAAAAAGTTTTGAAGAAATGAAACAAAGCACAGATTCTAGTTGCACAAAAAATTGATTTTAATAAACGTGAAACCTGCACTTGATGTGTTGGTGCATTGGTGTAATATTTGGCATAAAATTGCTTAATTTTTAAATCACCTCATTCAAAAATATTCAACTTGCCTTTCATTTTCGATTCTAGTTTTGTGTTCTCTGCATTTTCTTGTGTGTTACTATTATATATTTCACTTACTACATAAAACATTCTTGTAATTAAAAAAATATTATTGGTTTTTAAAATGTGTTAAATAATTTAAGTATATTTTTCCCTTATACAGTACAAAGTCTTTAATCCGAACTCGTCGGGACTTCAGCGATTCCGGATTAGGGGTTTTTCCGGATTATAGATCATCAATTTAAATCTGGTAAGATGGCATATAGAAATTATAAAATTAAAAATATGAAACCCTAATTTATGAAATAAAGAGCAATTATGATCTAAAGGGTATCAAAATTTTTTTTAAAAAAAAGCTTAATATTTATTTGTTTACTTTATTAAACATTTCTTTCAATGTAAGTTGTTTAAGTTGCTTCGTTTTTTGGGGCTAATGCTTTCTCTTTAATTCTATAAACAGACATAATTTCTTGTTCAGTTCCACTGTTCACGTCCTGTAATTGCTGTGTCAAGAATACCGACTAACTTGTCAATTGAAATTTTTTCGTTTTCAATAAACCTCTCTGTCACTTTCTTCACTATTGGAAGCAGTACATCGAAACATGCTTTCGCTTTGTAGATCCTTTGGCAGCTTCAGAATCGGAAACTCTTTTTGACATAATCGAAAGTTCAAACTTACTTTTTATAAAATTGCTCTAACAGTCTGCAAAAAATAATAAGCCAGATCCAATTAGAAGATTAAGGAACAATACAATCTGCAATAGATAAGTAGATAATTTTAGCCTAGCTTATACTGTCTGTTACACATTTAACGTGCATGCGTAAAGCATTATGCGTATGCGTAAACGCATAATGCATTTACGCATGCGCAGAAAGTTTGTAGCTTTTGATGTCCGGATTATAGATCATTCCGGATTATGAACGTCCAGATTAAAGACTTTGTACTGTATATATTATATATTTCTTCCTTATTATGTGTTATAGCTTTTTATCAATAAACAATTAATTATCAGTTTTATTAGTTTTTTTTAATCGATGGGATCTTGATTCTGCCAATCATTTGCCACTGCATATTTGACTGTTGATCTGTAGTCAATCTTTTGATCATCATTGACCCCCAGGGGTTCAGTACCAACCATGTTTGGAACTGTTGTTGTAGACCTTGTCCACTGATATCCTGAACATTTGTAGTTGCTGGCAAATTTGGAGATTTGGCAGGCTATGGTAATAGGGTGATATTTCATATATATTTTTGTGGGGTGTTTCGGTGTATGTGCATTGTGCTGATCAAATATGGTGCTGCTTTTATAACATATACAGAGGGAATTGTTGCAAGTTGTGAAATAACATATTGGCTGTTCATTTGTTTGTCAATAAATTTCAGAAGTGTATACCTAAGATAGCTGATAGGTCTTCTGTCCATAACACCATGTGTCGGAAGTATGTGTCATTTAACAGGTCTAACTGAATTGTCCCATTCATCCTAAATATATGAATGTATATGTGCATGTGACCACTTTAGAAACTAAATTAAAAGCAGGTTTCATTATTGAAAATGCCTTAATGCCATTCTGCTTCCCAAATTACAGAGGCATGGCATTTGTTTAAGAGCAAGAGATGATGATGAATGGAGAGCAGGTTTGGTTAGGTTATTTTAATGTAGCAAAGCACACAAAGACTATTAAATTTGCCTAAGGGAAACCACTCATATTTCATGTTTCACAAGGAAAATCATACACATACACACACAAAATTCCACCCATTTACTTGGGCTCAAATATGGGTCAAACTGTCAGTAGCTTAATCACGCAGTCACTGGTGGGGAGAAATGATAAGCAATTAAATGAATGTCTCATATGTAACCTTACTTCTGCAAGGTAATTTGAAACCATTTCTCAGGTGATGAGTGATCAAATGGCAATTTCAGCACTTGTTTTAACAGCTGAGAAGTACCCAGGACTTCCAATCTAATGAGATCAAATATATTCAACCATCACACTTAACTATTGCAATCTGTGCTGCAAACTTAACATAATGAACATGAATATTTTATCTCAACCACCTCTGATCATATCTGTCCATCACACATCACAAATCGTGATCATTATGCTTTCTTTATCCAGGTGTGCCATTGTGTATATAGTTGACTTACTAGCTGTGTAGGCTAATTTTATCTACCCTTTCTCGAAAGTCATTCCTTGTGTATTATACCTGAATATAATTTCTAAGCATTTTATGTTGTATAATATATCTTCATGTACAAACTTGAACTAAAATTTGATTTATAAAAGTAACTTGTTTGATAGATATGCACGAGACATCTTAATAACCCACTCAGCAAGTTTTGTCTTATAGCAGTTGCAGAAAATGCAGAACTGCTGCATAACTTTAGTCGTTTTCATGCTTCACTACAATATGACCATCAATTATATTACTTTTCAAACATTTGCGAAAAGGGATCAGTATGATGCACAAGAATCACTTAATATGTAAATACTAAAGGAATTAATTTGCAGCTGGTCACTACAGTAAAAGTCTTCCAGCCGTGAATTCTCAATTTTTCTCAAAAAATATATATGAAGTAACTCGTATAGGAATACATAATAATAGTAAAAAATTTCCAAAGATCATTTGACACCCTGTGTCTTACTGATAAATGATTTTTGGTAGCATTATGCAAATACAAGTTGTATTAGAAACGAACACAGCCACTTTCCCCTAAGATGACTGTTTCTTAAAGTGACAAAGTATTTTAGATGGTACATAAATAATAGTATTTTAACATGAATGAAGTCATGTTCTCTAAAGCAAAATTGTTTACAGTCATATCATAGAGAGACTTCAGTATATCATTTTAAGAATAGGGTTGAAAAAAAGGAGCTGGAAGATGTGATAAAATTTAAAACATTTTCGTTAATTGATTACTTCTAGGCGAAATACACGGGTTGCCGTTAATTATGGATAAATCACAAAAATGACGATTACTCAAAAAGTTACTTATAGAATTTAATGAAACTGAACCATAATATATAACACATAGTAAGGTATAAAATTACGTGAAAAGAAATTACCAGAGAATTATGATTTTAGAGAAATTAGCATATGTATAAAATAAACAGATCAGATGTGTGAGTTTGGTATAGGAAAATTAACTTCAATATGGAGTTTAACCCCTTCGCACCGACTGTCACGTATATGTGCCAGCAACGAATGCACTTAGGCAGGCATGCCAGAGGATTGTTTCATTCTCTACCGACTGTCACATATTTGTGCCAGTACTTTGGAACGTTTTTCAAACTATAATTTCTGCCACAAGATGGCACTGTATGTCCATATGGTTTCAGATACATGTAAATTCGACCTTCTACTCAAAATGAGAGAAGCATGACTCACATACACGTGTTTTTGATTATATAAACAAACGGGGAAATAAATGTTTCCGAATGGAGTGATTTATGACGTTAGCAGGTGGTAGTTGTTTACTGTAAGTAGAGAAGTTTTATTTGCTCTAAAGTGTTGGGTATTTCGGTTTGCAGTTCAGTTTTTAGAAAATAATTAGATCTTGTTAGACGTGAATTCTTTGTTTTTACTGTTGCAATGTCGAAGCCTCGAAAATGTTTAACAGAGCATGAAATAGCAGAAATGATGCAAAATATTTCAGATATTGATTCTGAAATTCGGATATTCTGATATTGATTCTGAAAGATTAACTGAAAGACATTTTCCAAAACTTTGTTCAGAAGAGACTGATAAGAAAATGAGACGACGATGCTTCGTTTGTTCACATTCCCAGAAAAATCCTCCAAAACGGCAAATGAGTTATTACGAGTGCAAGGAATGTAACGT